TTCTTCATGTGAGCTAAAATGGTCTGTTATCTCTGGGGCATTGTGGGGTTGTCATATTTGTAATAGCATACAGCTTAGTTGTTAGACCTGAAGGGGAGAAATCTCTGGGGGCTCCTGCAATTCAAGGAGTTCATGAGGTGGTTGTGGAGGGGTTGTGACAGCAGCGTTCCTGGTCCTAAATGGAGATCCGGTTGGTCTCAGTGTTATCCATGTTCAGGGCAGTCAATCTGGAAGTAGTTTGTCAAATGCATTTCTTGTCAGAAAAGTTGTTGACACCAGACTGTTGTCTATGGAGAGCAACAGCATGATGAAAAACATGGAGACACATGAGGAGGACCAGCTGGGACACGGGCGTGATAAAAAAAACATGGGGATATGTGAGGAGGACCAGGTGAGACACACAGACATGATAGGAAAACATGGAGACACATGAGGAGGACCAGCTGGGACACGGGCATGATGAAAAACATGGGGATATGTGAGGAGGACCAGGTGAGACACACAGACATGATGGGAAAACATGGAGACACATAAGGAGGACCAGCTGGGATACAGGCATGATGGGGAAACATGGAGACACCTGAGGAGGACCAGCTGGGACACAGGAGTCACGGGAAAACATGGAGACCCGTGAGAAGGACCAGCTGGGACACACAGGCATGATGAGAAAACATGGAGACACGTGACGAGGACCAGCTGGGATACAGACATGATGGGAAAACATGGAGACACATGACGAGGACCAGCTCAGACATGGGTGTGATGAAAAACATGGAGATATGTGAGGAGAACCAACTGGGACACACAGACATGATGAAAAAACATGGAGCCACATGAGGAGGACCAGCTGGGACAAAGGAGTGATGGGGAAACATGGAGACACGTGAGGAGGACCAGCTGGGACACGGGCGTGAAGTGAACACGTGCTGTTAGAAAAGAGGCACCATCTGGCTTGCTCCACGCAGGGTCACCACAAACCTGCCATTTATGAAAAACGCAGCAGTATCTGTGAATTACAACAAAACCACAGGTACCCTCTCTCCATCTGGGGGCAGGACTTCATGCGCCCCGGAAGTTCTGGGAGAGGACCCTTCCTGGCCTCTTCCAGCTCCTGGAAGTTCCAGGTGTCCTTGGCTCATGGCCAATCCATCTCCTCTCTGCTACGTCCTCCCATGGGCTCCTCTGTGCCCCTCTGTGTGACCCCTCTGTGTGACCGCCAATGCAGTGATTACCTGTCAAACACTTGATGACCAGCCAAAAGCAGAGGTGCCTCGGAAGACTGGCTTGGATTGCTGCTTCGGAGAAGTCACAGCCTCGGGCCCCCACGGAGTAGTTCTCCCCTGAGTGTACAGAAACCTGCTCAACAGCTACCAATGACATCTGCGGAGACCCTGTCCCCAAAGACAGGAATCTGGGGGATACAGTGCAGTCCTCAACAGCTGGCTCAGCAGGAGGGGACAGGACACCAGTCCAGAGCTATGACGGTGAGATCAGGGCAGTCTCTGGCCCTGCCCTCTGGGTGGTTGGCACCACGGGGACAGGCAGCGGGACTGACCCTTCTCTCCCGGGTGGTCGTCCACCTCAGGTCTTGCAGCGAAGGCAGAATACAGCTTGTGGGTGCTTGCTTGGAGGAGGCCCGGCTCCCTCAAACCCCAGGCGCCACCTTTCAATGGCAGACATGGGGAGGAAGACGAGGCAGGTAGTGAGTGGCCACCAGACTGACCCTGCTCCATTTGCTTTGGGGATGGCTATGGGGTTTGTGAGCCCCCTTTCCCCGCCACCCCCCCCGTCCCAGCCCCATCACATGTTCCTCTGAAGCCATCATGGCTCCATGGGGGCCCACGGGAGGTAGTTCCGATGTCTCCCCTAACATCTTGTGGTGGCAGGAGGTCAGAGGTCAAGCGTGATAGCCGTGGTAACAGTGTGGCTCCGGAAGACCCAGCTTCTTTGCTGACTCATCTGAGACTTGACGTCACAGAGCCATGCCGTGTGCCACCACCTGAGGGCAGATGAGGGAACTGACGTCCATGGTGCCAGCAGCCAAGATGCCCCCACCTCCATGGATGCCACTTTGGGCAAGAGGAAGGGACACTGCCCCTGGGCAAGGACTGATGAAGGAGCCTGGCTGAAGGGAGCCCACCAGGCCTTTGGGTCCCACCCACACCCCCTCAGCCACATCCAGAGGAGACAGAGCAGAGCAGCCCACTCAGCCAATCCCTTCCTCTTGTCTGTCCACTCCAGCAAGGAGTCCCTCTGGGACCTCTGTAGTCTGGTCTGGGCTGCTAGTCCTGAGGGCCAGGCCCCGGGGACTACACTTGGGCCTTTCAGAATAGCCTGCCCCTCTCCCTGGCATTGCAGCTTCAGAACTCACCGAGCCTTGGTGGGCAGGTGGAGAGGGCTAACCCCACATTCCCAGTCCTCGGGAAGGCCGACTCATCTGATGTCCACTTTTCACTAGGCAGGGCTAACCCTTCTGTGCACGAGGCCCAAGATATACCGACTGAAATTTCCCAGCAGGGTCTTCACCATTCCTGCTGCTCCCTAGGGTGATGGGAGCGGGTCTTATGAGAGAGAGACCCAGCATGAGCTCAGGGTGCCTGCTGCTCCCCCATAGTCGCTGCTTTGCTAGCATGGACTTAGAGCTTGTGTCCAGACATCTGTGTCCCCCAGACCGTGAGGACCCTGAGGGGAGAGACCTGGAAGAGTACCTGATAGGTAGGCACAGGGTGCCTGGTGAATGCTTGTTGAAATTGTGAGTAAGTGAATGAGTGCATGAATGAATGAGTGTGTGAGTGAATGAATGAATGGATATCAGTGAGTGAGTGACTGGGTGAATAGGTGGTGGGTGAATGAATGACTGCAAGGGTGGGTGAATGAATGAAGGAGTGAGTGGGTGAGTGAGTGAATGAGTGAGTGGATGAATGGGTGATTGAATGAATGTGTGGGTGGGTAATTGAATGAATGAGTGGGTGGGTGATTAAATGGGTGGGTAGGGGATTGAATGAGTGAGTGGGGGATTGAATGAGTAGGTGATTGAGTGGGTGTTTATTGAATGAATGACTGACTGAATGAATGAGTGGGTGGATGATTGAATGAATGGGTGAATGAATGAGTGAGTGGATTAGTGGGTGGGTGATTGAGTAGATGATTGAATGAGTGGGTGGGTGGGCGTGTGTGGTCACACACTGCCCTGCCCTGGGCATGCTGTACTCAGGGAGGCTCCATCATCACCAGCCAGGACCCGACAGAACTGGGACCAAACCCAGCTTCAAGCCCCACTCCAGTCTTTACTGCGAGATGCTGTGTTGTCCTACAGAGCCTCCTGGACACAAACACTGAGATCAGCACTGTCCAGTAGGAGCTTCTAGATGTAAACATTTAGGCCAGCGCTAGTATCCAACCGAAATTTCTGGGATGATGGAATGTTCTAGATTTGACTGCCCTGTGTGGTGCCAACCAGTTGTATGTGGCTACTGAATCCTAAAAGTGTGGCCGGTGTGATTAACGAGGAGAATTGTACATTTCATTTCAGTTTGAGCACTAACAGCCTGGGTGTCTGCCGTGTTGGGTAGCGCAGTTCTAAGCTCCCCCACCCAAGACCCATATCTGAGATGACACCCTGAAGGCAGACACATTGGAGGGTGAGGGGCTGCATTCTTGGTCTCCTCACTACCTCTCAGGGCAGCTCTGACAGTCTCTGAACCACACCCAATGCAGGGACAGCGGGTTCCCTCCTGAGCCACAGCTAAGTCCAGAGTTCCGAAACACTCACCTGTGAAAGCCAAACCAGATTCAGAAGGAGGATGTGGAACTGGTGAGATCATTGGTGACGTCACACCGGTTCTGACTAATAGCGAGAGAATACCAGAAAGATGTTTACTTGTGCTTGATTGACTCTGCAAAGGCATTCAACTGTGTGGATCATACAACCTATGGACAACATTGTGAAGAATGGGAATTCCAGAACACGTAATTGTGCTCATGAAGAACCTGTACATAGACCAAGAAGCAGTTGTTAGAACAGAACAAGGGAACACTGAATGCCGGACTGCAAAGCCATTTGAACTGCAAGGTCGGTGGTTCAAGCTCACCATCTGCTCCTTGGAAACCCTATACAGGGTTGCTAAGGGTCGGAATCGACTCCACGGCACTTAACAACAACAACACCAAAATCAAGAAAGGTGTGAATCAGGACTGTGTCCTTTGTTGTTGTTGTTGTTGTTGTTAAGTGCCGTCGAGTCAGTTCCGACTCATAGCTACCCTGTACAGGATTTCCGAGGGTGTAAATCTTTACGGGAGTAGAAAGCCTCATCTTTCTCCCGCCGAGCGGCTGGTAGTTTTGAACCGCTGACCTTAAGGTTCGCAGCCCGATTCGTAGCCACTACGCTACCAGAGCTCCTTTGTTGTTGTTAGGCGTCATTAAGTTGGTTCCAACCCACAACAACCCTGTGCACAACAGAAGTAAACGCTTCCTGGTGTTTCACCAACTTCACAATCATTGTTACACATGAGCTCATTGCTGCTGCCATTGTGCCAATCCATCTCACTGGGGGGTCTTCCTCTTTTTCACGGACCCTCCACTTTATTAAGTATAATATTCTTCTCCAGGGACTGTTCCCTCCTGACAATATGTCTGAAGTATGAGAGACGAAGTCTGGCCATCCTGGCTTCTGAGGAGCATTTTGGCTGTACTTCTTCCAACACAGATTTGTTTGTTCTTTTGGCAGCCCATGGTACTTTTAATATTCTCCTTCAACAGCACAACCAAAATGCATCAATTCTTCTGCAGTCTTCCTTATTCATTGTCCAACTTTTACATGCAATGAAGCTATTGAAAACACCATGACTTGGGTCAGGCACAGCTTCATCCTCAAACTGACATCTTTGCTCTTGAGTACTTTAAAGAGGTCTTGTCCAGCAGATCAGCCTGATGCAGTACGTTGTTTGATTTCTTGACTGCTGCTTCCATGAGTGTTGAGGGTGGACCCAGGCATAAGTGTGGCTGCATTCTTGCACCATACTTATTCAACCTGTATGGTGAGCAAAACATCCGAGAAGTCAGACTAAATGAAGAAGACTGAAGAATGAGGACCGGAGGAAGACTCATTAATGACCTGTGATACACATAGGATAACACAACCTTGCTGAAAACTGAAGAGGACTTGAAATCCTTCTGATGAAGATCAAAGACTACAACTTTCATTATGGATTACACCTCAACATCAAGAAAGCCACATCTTCACAACTGGACCAATAAACAGCATCACAGGAAATGGAGCAAAGATTGAAGTTGTTAAAGACTTGCTTGGCTCCAGAACCAATCGCCTTGGAATCAGCCGACAGCATCGGGCAAATCTGCTGCAAAAGACCTTTTAAAAGTGATCAAAGGTGTTGCTTTGAGGATGAAAGTGAGCCTGACTCAAGCCGTGGTTTTTCAATCACCTCGTATATGTGCTTGGAAAAGTGGGAGGTCGGTGAAGGAGAGGAAGGTCCCCAGCAGAAGGAATTGAAACATCAGCATCAGTGGCCTCACAGGACAATTGTGAGCATGGGGCAGGACCAGGCAGGGTTTTGCTCTGTGCTGCAGAGGGTCCCTATGATTTGGGACCAACTCAACAGCACTTTTACACTAACAATATAAATGTGTAAACGCTGGACAACAAATAAGGAAGACTGAAGGATTTGCTGCTTTCAAATCCAGGTGTTGGGGAAGAATATTGAATCCATCATGCATTTGGAAGAAGTAGACAGACATTACCCCTTAGCATGAAGGACCCTGAGACTTCATTTCACATACTTTGTACATGTTCTCAGAAGGAACCAGTCTCTGGAGAAGGACATCACGCTTAGTAAGATAGAGGGTCAAGGGAAAGAGGAAGACCCTCAATGAGATGGACTCACACAGTGGTTGCTGCAATGGGGTCAAACCTAGCAAGAGTTGTGGGGATGGCTTGGGCCCCAACTGTTGTTCCAGGGTGGACTGTGAGTCCGCACTCGCTCATCAGCACCCAACAACAGCTAACGTGCACAGAGCAGTACTAGAAGCTGCTTGTCTGTTGGCAAAGCCATGAGGGGCCTCTGACGACTCCAGGAGAAGCCAGGCCAGGGAGTAGGGGGCGCCTCTGAGCTGGACAGGAGAGGAACACTTGTCCCTTCCTGCTACCCTGGGACATGTGGGGAAGGGTCTTTTCTTGGTGCAATGACAACCCCCCTACCAGGCTGCCGGACCCACCTCTGTACATCAGTTTCCTTTTGGGTCTGAGCAAGCATTGACTCCTGGTCTCCTCCAACATTCTATGAATCCTGAGGACACAGCGAAAGGCCCTTTGTCCACTCAGCTGCCCCATCTCTGTGGCTCTGCAGGTGGACAGCAGCCCGATGGGCCACTTCTGGGGAACTTGCAGAATGGCCTCCTTGCCAACATCCGGCAGAAGTCCTGGAGCTTTCTGGAGTCACTGAAGGTAGGTCCAGCCCATATGTCCAGCCCAGGAAAGCCATGCCCCCTTAGGCCTTTTGTGCTTGGGAATGAGCTGGGCAGGAAGAATAAGGGGACAATTGAAGGAGCCTGCTTCTGGGGGGCCTGTCAGCCCTCTCCGACTGAGGGTGGCAGGATGGCCTGCCAGGACCCTAAGGCCAGGTTCCCCACAGCTGGACCAGTGGAAGCAGGCCTGGGAACTGACCCTTCTGCGACAACGGGTGGAGCGCGAGGTCATTGAGACACAGACGGCCCTGGACGGACTATTCCTCCGGCCCCAACTCCAGGTCAGTGGCATCCCCCAAGCCCCACGGCCTCCCTTCCCTGCAGTTGCCACTGTGGCCCTCCAACGGGGCCGCTCCCACCTAATGGGCTGCCCCTGCAAGAGGTTTGGTCAAGTGCTGGGAGGGAACATGGTCCCCACAGGACCCAGGAAGTGACCAGGCCTTCGCCGGCAAGCAACAGGCTTAGCTGCTGCTCCGCCAACACCATAGGCTTCCGAGGGGCTATTTGGGGGCATCTGCACAGGTGGGGTACCAGCAGGGACAGGTGGGTCCCTGTTACAGATTCCACGGGCACCTGAATGAGGCTGCCTGCGGGATTGGACTCGGTCACCCCCGAGCACACGCCCATTAAGGGAAGGGGACCTCAGGTTCCGAACCCAACTCTGCCACCCCACATCAGTGCAGTCCACCCATCCTACGGGCAGCCCCTGGTGGGTGGAGGAAAAATGGTGCACAGGCCGGTGGCGGAGACGCCTGTGGTGGGCAGACCAAGGCCTGGGTCTGGTTGGGCATGAGGAATCTTCTTGTGCCCATGGTCTGGGGATTGTTGGTGTGATACCGCCATCACAGCCCATTCTGGGGAAGTATTCTCAGGAGAGAGGATGTGTCTGTGTATTTGTACAATGTATGTGCATGTGCTGTGTGCACATGTGTGTGGTTTCTCAGATGCACGAGTACACGTGTGCATGTATAATCATGTGTGCTTGCATGCACTTGTGCACTGTGTATGCATGCATGCTTTGTGTGTCTGCTCATATGCACATATGCATATGTGTGTGCATGCACATAATGGGTCCATGCATGTGCTCACTCCCATGCATGTGTGCATGTGTGCACTTGGTGTGCATACATGCTGTGTGCATGTGTGTGTTCTTGCTCATGTACACATGTGTGTGATCGTGTGTGTATGTATGTGTGTTCCTACATGTGTACGCTTGTGTGCATATATGCTGTGTGTGCATGTGTATGATCACTCGTGTGCACATATATGTGCATATGTGCACCTGTGCATGCACAAGCATGTGTGTCCATACATGTGCTTGCTCCCATGCATGTGTGCACTTATTTATGCATATATATATTGTGTGTGTGCTCCCTTGTGTGTGCATACATGTGAGTGCACACTTGTGGATATGTGCGTGTGTGTGTGCATGTGTGTAAGCAAGCTCACACGTGTGGCTGGGTGTCCCCCCACAATGTATGTGACAGGTGCACACACATGTGCATATGTGCATTAACAGACATGCTCATTTGTGTGCATGCATGTGTGCTGTGTGTGTGCTCACTTGTGTGCATGTGCATGCATGCATGTGTATACGTTGTGTGTGCATGTATATACTGTGTGTGTTCATGTGTGTATATATGTTATGTCTGAATGTATATTGCTGAGTGCATGTGTTCATGCATGCATGTGTACGTGTTGTGTGTGTTTTCCATGTGTGTGCACTGTGCATGCCTGTGTGTTTGCTCACATGCATGTTGTGTGTGTGGTTGTGTGTGTGCACATCCTCAATGACACAGATACATGTGCCCCCACTCTGGAGTTCAGTGGTCCTTCACCCTCTCATCCCAACATACACCACAGGGATTACAGCCAGCAGGTTTCGCTTCCCCATGCCTGGACTCTTCCTGCCCATCAGCCCTGTCCCTGCCATGTGGCCAGTGTGTCCATCTACCCCTCTGCCCTGCCCTGGGGACAATGTGTCCATCTGCCCCTCTGCCCTGCCCTGTGGCCAATGTGTCCATCTGCCCCTCTGCCCTGCCCTGTGGCCAAGACATCCATCTGCCTCTCTGCCCTGCCCAGCCCTCTCTGGAAGGGAGGAAGGTACTGAAGTCATGCCTGGGCTGTGCTCCTCCCTGATGGCCACACACCTGGCCTGATGCCCACTGGTGGTGAGTGCCCACTGGTGGTGAATGCCTTGTGCCACCCTCCCTACCACCTGTCACCTGCTTGTCCCCACAGCACCTGGCAGAGACACATTCCACCCAGGGTAGGCCAAAAACAGCCTCGGAGCTGGAGCAGCCACCAGTCCATGTGGACCCAGAACTGCAGTGGGCTTCTGCAGGTGAGAGTCCCTGAGACGCCCACCATGTAGATGGCGTCATCAACCCTGTAGATGGCGGTGGGCGGGAGCCTGCTGGGGTAACTTGCCCAGTGTCACCTGGGAAGGATGTAGCTGGGATTTGCACCTGTCTGTCTGATGGCAGACCATGCCATCATACCCTGGGCAACCGAGCCTCTTGGGCCTGCAGGTGACCTCAGACCACTGAGCCTGGGAGGTTAGGATGTGGAGCAAGTTGACAAACAACTGCCCCCTCCACCCTCAGGAACCTGGAAAGGGAGTCTGCAGTGCCGCAGGAAAGCTTTAGATGAGACTCTTAGCTCAGTGGCACCTTAATGTCCTCACAGTGCCTGGTGATCCCGGCATCTCTAGCTGGTGGGCACATCTGTGTGTCAGTCCCAGCCTAGCTCCTCAGGTTTCCAGCTGACCCCCAGGGTGGCCACTGCCCTTCTCCTGAAGCCCTGACCTCAACCACACTGGCTCTGAGGGAATAGGGATTCTCCCCGACTCTACACACGTTGACATGTGCTGGGAGTAAGGGTCTGAGACTGCAGGCCTTCCAACTCATGGCTGAGCTGGCCACTCAGGGTACATGTGGGGACATTCAAGTTGGACACTGCTCTGCTCCTGCGTTCTCGTCTGCTTCGTGGTTGGGGAGCACTGAGATAGCATTTTGTCCTCCAGCATCCAGCGTCTCTCCTGTTACAGTTGTGAGACTGCTCCTCATCCCCCGTGCCAGTCAGAACAAGGTGGTTGACGGAATGCCAGTCTCCTCTGCTCTCGAGGGGTTTCTGGCTACTCATCTGTCTGCGACTGAGAGACGGGTATAGAAACATCCTGGTGTCTAGTCCTCCCAGTTCGGTTCATTGTGCTTTGCTTTAAGCTTGGTGGGCTCTTGATGACACTAATTGTCCTTGGTGATTTGCTTTGCTATGAAATCTATTTGGTCTGATATGGATACAACCGCTCCAACTTTAACTAGCGTTAGCATAGGTACCTTGGTGGCACCGTGGGTTAAGCATTGCACTGCGAGCTTCGCAGTTTGAACCCACCAGCTGCTCCATGGGAGGAAGATGATGCTGTCTGCTCCCATAAAGAGTCACAGTCTTGGAAACCCTATGTGACGGTTCTGCTCTGCACTATAGGGTGGCTATGAGTGGGAATCAACCCATGGATAGTGGGGTTACTGTTAGCATGGGATACTGTTTCCAGCCCTTAACTCTTCATTCATTTGTGTCTGTATTTAAGGTGTTTCTTGTAGGCAGCATATAGTTGCGTTGTGTGTAGGGTCTCTGTTTTCCCAGTGTGGTCATACCTGTCTTTGAATTGCTGATCACACACTCCGTATTTGACACAAGCCTCAGTGTGGACAGGTTGGAATCTATAATTTGTGATTCGTCCCATCTGTTCTTTGATCTCCTCCCGCTCTTTTTTCTCTGCCAAGCTTAGTTACGAGTCAATTTCATCTCCTTTGTTGGCTTACAAGCTGTAACTCTTTGCTTCCTTGTTTCAGTGACTGCTTTAGGGTTTACAGTGTATTGTTGACGTTGTTAAGTGCTGTTGAATCGATTCCGACTCATAGCGACCCTGTAAAGGGTTTCCGAGGAGTGACTGGTGGGTTTGAATCACCTACCCTGGGGTTAACAGTCCAGTACTTATCCTACAGAACCACATCAGAACTTCCTTAGCATATTTGTTGTTGTTGTGAAGTGCTGTGGAGTTGGTCCCAACTCCTTGAGACCCCTGTATAGAGTTTCTGAAGAGTGGCTCATGAGTTTGAACCACCTGGAAAAGCTCTGTGTGTCTTGGTATCAATCTTTCCCTGGGTCTAGGAGCTTCTCAGCACAGGGACCCTGGGTTCAAAGGACACACTCTACTTCCGACTCGTCTTTCTTGGTGGTCCGAGCTCGCTCTTCCCTCTGCTCACTTGTTTAATCTCTCAGATATCTCAAAGCAGATTGGCTGGAGATACCACCTAACCCTGTAGATCACATCCAGCCTCAGTCACATCACTGTTACTGCCTTGTTAAACGACCCTGTATAGGGTTTCTGAGGAGTGGCTGGTGGGTTTGAACCGTGCAGTTAGCAGTCCGGTGCTTGTCTGACAGCACCCCAACAGGACTCCATGAACATCCTAGAGATGAGCATTTTCAACACATGGGACCAGTCCATCAGATCACAAAGTGGAGGGTACTCAGGACCCAGCCAAGCTGACACAATTCCATTCATGGCACAGTGCTAATTTACAGTGTAGTGTAGGCATTAACTTATCAGAACCTGCCTTCAAGTGACATTCAACTGTTTTACCTGTCATTGAAGAAAGAGCCCTAGAGGTGTTCTAGGACAAGCACTGGACTGCTTGCTAACCAGAAGGTCAGCAGTTCAAACCCACCAACCACTCTATGGAAGAAAGACGAGGCTTTCTGCTCCTGTGAAATTGACCGCCTCGGAAACTATGCAGGGTCGCCACGAGTTGGAATCGACTTGATGGCGGTAAGTATTAGAAAGGCCCTTATCATTCGTCCACTCTCTCTTCCTGGCCTTTAGTCTAGTGTTGCCCTGCACTTTACGTCTACATATTCTATAAACTCTACAGCCCATTGCTAGTACTTACATACACAGTGGTTCTTTAGAAAGTTCAAAATAATAATAAGAAAACACCACCATGTATTTACACCTGTCCTGGTGTGGCGCTGTGGACTAATGCGTCAGATTGCAAAGTCGTTTGAACTGCAAGGTTGGTGGTTCAAGCTCACCAGTTGCTTCTTAGAAACCCTATACAGGGTCGCTATGGGTCAGAAACGACTCGATGGCACTTCACAACAACAATCGTCTTCATTTCTTTGTGTAGATCTAGGTTTCCATCTGGTATGGTTACCTTCTGCTTGGCGGGCTTCCTTTAACATTTCTGGTGATGAATTATTTTAGCTTTTGTCTGCCTCAGACCATCTTCAGCTCCTCTTTACTTTTGAAAGATAGTTGTTGGGTATAGAATTTTAGGTTGACATTTACCCTCTTGTACTTTGAAGATGTGGCTTCACTACTTTCTGGCTCCCATTGTTCCTGAGGAATAATCTGCTGACAGTTTTATTCTCAGTCCTCTGTATGTATCTGTTTTCCTATGGCTGTTTTGATGTGTGTGTTTTTTTTACATTAGTTCTTTATTGCTGGTTCTGAGCAGTTTAACAATGATGAATTTTGGTGTCATTGTTTTCATGTTTCTTGTCCCTGGGCCTGTTGAGTTTGTTAGAGCTGTGGGTTTATCATTTTCTACAAATTTGGGGGATTTCCAACCATTTTTTCTTCAAACACTTTCTGATCTATGTGCTCTCCACTTGTTTGGGGCCACATAAGGGTTTGAGCTCACGGAACCTTTTTTATTGATTTTGATTCTTTTTGTTTGTTTACGGTGTTTCCTTTGGGATATCCCCATTAATCAATGGGGATATTAATCAATCCCCATTCTTCAAATCCATACATCTTTTCTTCTACAGTGTCTAACCTACCATTAACCCTATCCAATGTATTTTTTCATCTCTGATGCTTTTGTTTTCATTTCTAGAAGTCGCATTTGGTTGTTTATATGTATATTTTGTTTTTAGTGAAAAGATGCACAGCAAATCTGCTTCAGTGAGTCTCCAGACGTATGCATCAGCGACACCAGTTACATTTTCTACATCGTGCCGACACTCTTGCCATTTATCTCTCATGTTTCTAGTTAACTTTTTAAAAATGTTATATTGTGAAGTATGTGATAGTGTACATGGGAGAGCATTAGTTTTACATTCATCCTATCGTATATCGTTTCATTGCCATGGTTACAATCCCTTCCATGCACCATCAACCAACCAAAGGGTATACCCTGCAAGCCTGCCTCCTGGTCGTCAGCATACAGCCCCTCTCCCTCTCTGTGTCTAAAGTCCCCAGCTGCTCCATCTCTCCATGTTATCATCTCTGCCTCCATCTCTGGCGTCACTGCTTCTCTGGGTAGGGTCCCGCTCTTCGCTCTTCTTCCTTGATGGTCCCAGGGACCTCTGGTCCTAGACTGAAAAGTTATTCACTCCCCTCCTTGCTACAGAACATCTACCTTTACATTTCCAACCCTCATAAGCAGTCCTGATAACAATTATTCACTATTGTTAACACAAGAGACCCATCCGCATTTCATTACATCAGCCCTGCCTAGATAGATTGTATACTTCTCAGTGGAGATTCTACCTTCCTCCACATCCTCTGTGTATGGAGGGGGTGGGAATGATCCTTGCTGTAAAGAGCTACTGCATCCATAGGTGTAGGTCAAGCTCATCAAATTGTATCAGATTACTCTTTTTTCCCCTCTTCTTTCTTCTTCTAGTTGAGCTCTGATCATCCAGTCATTGAAGCCAGGATAAGTGGGGTATTATCTGCAAGTGTGGGTGTTCTTGTGCATATGCCCTCTCTTCTTATCAGCTGGATGCTTCACTCTCCACTCTAGTCCTCTGTGGCTGTGTCACTGACTCTGGGCCCAAAGTCCCCAGGTCTTGCCACACTGCTGGCCAACCAGGTCTCCACCCGGGTTCACAGGAGTCTATTGAACGTTGTAGGGCTTACCTCGCAGCTTCATTGCTGTTTTTCCCTCGCTTCACCTTATCGGTGACGAACAACTTGCTTATTCTTGTAGTAATCAGTCAGTTTGCCTATATTGTTTTGTATTTTTCCTGGCGGTCTTTCTTACAACAAGTATCTTCTGTTCTTCTAGCCGCTCCAGGCTGGTCTGCTTGTCCTTTCAAGTGGAAATTTCCCACCTCTGAAGATTCTGGATGCGGTTCAGGATTCCACCTATGGTCTTATGTAATGCAGAGGCTCTGCAGGAAGCCTCCTTCACTGGGCACGTTGTAACCCCATTTTAGGTATTCCAATCAGTTATAGGCAGAAGACGGATTTACAAGCTTTCTCTGGTGATATTTCTGGCTATTCCTTTCTCTCCCCCTCAAGTGTCTATGTTATAATGGTATGATAGGAAAACCAAGATTCAAAAAACAGCCAAGCATCTTAACATTATTTTTAACATATTTTACATATAATTTTTAACATTTTTACATATTTTACATATAAATTTTAACATTTTTAACATATAATAACATAAAAATTAACATATAGTTAATTTTTTAAACACATATAGTAGAGTTGTAAAACCTGTGTTAATATCCTTCCCTGCTAATTCTAACATGTGTGTCAATTCTGGTTCCCGTGAGGTAGATTATTCTCTTCATTACGGGTTGTTACCTGTTTCTTTGACTGTTGGTAGTCTTTAGATACCAGACATTGTGACTTTGACCTTGCTGGGTGTTTCTGTAGCCTATGAACATTAAGCTCTGGTCTGAGATGCAGTTAGTCAGAAGCAGTCTGGTGCTTTCTGGGTCGTTTTGTTTTTTAATATAGTTTTTTAGGTGGATCAGAGTAACACTCAGTCTGGGGCTAATTACACCCCATGACTGAGGCAAGACCCTTCTGTGTACTCCACAACCCATGAATCGTGAGGTCTTCCAGGCACAAATCCAGCCTCCTAATCCTTCTTTCTCCAGTTCCAGAGTGTTCCCTTAAACTTTTTTGGTGTTTTCAACCTGATACTCCAGGGACACTCCACACAGCTCTGGATTCTCTCTGAGAAGCTCTATCCTCTCGGGCATCAACCACCACGGTCTTGCTGGCCTCATGGCTCTGATTCCTTAGCTCAGGGGTCCTCCTCTCTGTTCCATGGCCTGAAGCTCTCTCAAAGCAGGAAGCTGCAGCAGTTGCTGGCCTAATCACATTTGTTTTCTGCTTCTCAAGGGTCAGTGTCCAATGTTGCCTAATATCCAGTGTCCTGAGAACAATTCTTTCACATGTTTTTTGTTGTTTTCTGGCTTTCTAAATCATTTTGGTTGGCGAATGTCTACCCCACCATGGAGTGGCTGGCTGAAGTCAGGAACATGGCCTCTGCTCTCTGCCTGACCCCCTGCTCTCACCTTCTGCCCACTTGGTGGGGAACCTTGAGAGGGCCAGTTTCTGTCTCTGGACTTGTGTCCCCTTCTGGGGAAGCAAAGTCACCAGGCTAAGTCATGTCGAGCTCCTTCAACTTCCCATCTGGTCTCCCATCTTTACACGTGGTGTAAAGACTCCCTGTGGAGCTGCGGGGTGCGTTAAACCACTCCAGACTTGCTGGTCTTTAGGAGGTCCATCCAGCGGCAGCTGCTCACGGCACAGTCGGTGGTTCATGCCCAGCAGATGCTCCAATGGAAAAAGATTTGGCAGTCTGCTTCTGTGAAGACCTCCTCAAGTTGATTCGGACTCGTCACCATCCACAGGACACAGTAGAACTGCTCCATGGGGTTTTCAAGGCCATAAATCCTCAGGAAGTAGACTGTCACATCTTCCTCCCTGGAAGTGGCTGGTGTGTTTGAACCACAGACCTTTCTGTTACCAGCCCAAGAATTAGCTCACTGTGCTGCCAGGCTCTCTCTGTAACAATGGCAGCTTTGGCAACCCCATGGGGCAGTTCTACTCTGTCCTGTGGTGGGGTTCCACAGACAAAACCCCTAGACAGCAGTGGCTCAGATCCCCTGCTGCCCCAACCATTATCTGCTCTCTTTCCTCAGGGCCTGAGCAGGAGGCTGGGGGGCCCAACAGAGCCCCCTCCCAGCAGCCCCCAGCCAGGCTGGACCCTTGGGACTCATGGAGGATGCCAGATGTCACCGACCAGGTACAGGGGAGACCCCCTGGGGCCAGCCTGGGGTCCAGGTTGTGGGAGAGGTCCCCTGGGGCCCAGCACCAGGACCAGGTCAGGACAGGTCCCCTAGGGCCCAATCCTGGGACCAGGTTGGACAGAGGTCTCCTAGGGTCCAGCCCTGAGATCAGGTTGGGACAGGTCCCCTAGAGCACGGTCCGGTGATTAGCAGAGGTAGTCAGTATTAGGGCGCATCCTCCCATCCATGTGAATCCTGGCCTCTCCTAGAACCTGTCCTGGGGGGTCTCCACCGCGAGTCCCCCACAGGCAGCACTCACGCTGCCAACTGACTGCGACCCCAGCCCGGATGACAGATGAGGATGGGTATCTATCTTTAACAAGGGGCTTCAGGGTTGGTCCTGCCCAGGGTGCCCATTCCCCAGAGCGCACGAGTAGGTGCCCAGCCTGAAGTCAACCCTCAGTTGGGAGGAGTACCCCGTGGAAAAGCGGGCAGCAGACTGGAGAGCTTCCCGGAGGAGGCGGCTCTCCTCTAGGTTCCCGGCGGTGACCAGCAGCCGCCCCTTCCGCCAGGGCTTCAGCCTGCAGATGCTAGAGCAGAGCCTACGGGAGGAGGAGCTGCGCGCGCAGCACCAGACTGCCCTGCTGCGCCTGCGTGAAAAGGCACTTGAGGAGAAGACGCTTGCTGAGCTGGCCGGGCTGGAGCATCTGCGCGGGTGAGCGCCCGTGCGCCTGCACGCCTCGCCCCGGGACCCGCCTTCTCCCTGCATCTGGCTCACCCTGCATCTTGGGTCCTGCCCCCAGCTTCGGTCCCGCCCCCGGCCCCGCCCCATCCCCGCCCACTACCAAGGATGTAGCCCCGCCTTTGGACCCCTAGGCCCGTCCCTGACTTTCAAAGAACTTTGGAGAATAAAATGTAGCAATAGGTGTTTACAGAAATTTAGATACGACAGTAAAACTTATGAGAGTTAGAACTCGACGGGACTGCCTTGCTTTTCCGGGTCTCGGAGTTTTCCGCCTTTGACGGCGCAATCACCACTCTTCCATCGCTGTGTTTGTATCTGAGTTTTCTGCCTTACACAGGGTTCGGCTCTCCTAGCCTTCACAATACATTGTTTTCTAAAACCGATCCCACCACCCATCCCAGCCTGTGTACAATCCCTCTCACCCTATCCCACCACGGGGTGCACAGTTACCGTGTTTAGTATTAACACTACACTGGAGGCACAGCCCGTGCTGTCTTGTAACAGGGTTTCCATTCAAAACATCAACATCAACAACAAAATCCCAGCTGTTCCAATCCACCAGTTGTTCCTTGGGAGAAAATGAAGCTGGCTGCTCCTGTAGTGATTTCATCTCTGAAACCCTGTATGTTGTTAAGTGCCATTGAGTTGGTTCCAACTCATAGAGACCCTGTATAGGGTTTCCAAGGAGTGGCTGGTGAGCTTGAACCTCCGACCTTGTGTTTGAAACCGACCTTTCAGTGCAATGCTTTATCCCACAGCGCCTACCTCACTGTAAGAATGGACCATGGCAGTGAGCTTAATTTTTGATTTTTGGCTTCTATTGCTTGGAGCTCTGGTAGCGTAGTGGTTACGAATCGGGCTGTGAACCGCAAGGTCAGCAGTTCGAAACTACCAGCGGTTCCGCGGGAGAAAGATGAGGCATTCTGCTCCCGTAAAGATTAACAGCCTCGGAAACCCTGTGCAGGGTCGCTATGAGTCGGAACCGACTCCACGGCACATAACAACAACAACAACAACAATTGCTTGGTCCCACAGCGCTGGCCATCTCTGAGACATTCCCAGGAACGCTCACATGCCCCATCCCCTAAGTCAGGCCCACAGCTGGGCAGTCACCCTCTGTTCCCACTTGTGTTGTTACAAATGAGCCCTCTAGTGGGTGGTCATTTCAGAAGAGACATAGGAACTCTAGTAACGCAGTGGTTACGAATCGGGCTGTGAATCGCAAGGTCAGCAGTTTAAAAACTACCAGCAGTTCCACAGGAGAAAGATGAGGCTTTCTGCTCCCGTAAAGATTTACAGCCTTGGAAACCCTGTACAGGGTCACTATGGGTCAGAACCAACTCCACGGCACATAACAACAAAAACAATCCCTACATGTATATTCAAGCCTCCAGAAGTTTCTGCCCTTGGGAATTCTCACCAGCAGCACTGATCCTTCTTGTACATGGGGCCTGTGTACGTGGGCACCCCAATGTCTCACAAACAACCCTGTGGGTCCCCAAAAGTGCTATGGGGTTGGTGATGGCTGGGCTGGGGCCACCCTGGGCTCGAGCTTGGTGGGAGGAGAACCCCTAGGCCCACACAGCTCTTGTCTTTCTCATCACCTGTCCATCCTGTGCCCCAGGTGTCTGGAGGGCAAGAGGGATGCAGCAGTTCTGGCTGCTCTGAAGGAACAGGAGCAGCGGATCCTGGGTGACCTTCAGCGGGAGCAGGTGAGGGTCCTGCAGGGGCCCCGTAGGGCAGGGGGGGCCATGCAGAGAGGGACATTCCCACCTCCCACTGAGTATAGAAGACCTCCAGTCCTCATCATCTGAAGGATCTGGGAGTGTGGCGGAGCCCCAGAGGGACCCCAGAACCTTGGGGGAGCTTACCAGTGTCGTCCTGGCTCCAGGCCAGACTTGGCCCCTCATACTGTCACCTCGGGCCTCTCAGAACCTCAATGTATCCTCGTCTGAGAAGGAGACTAGCCTATGGCAGTGCACTGAGAGCCTTGTTAAGTGCCATCGAATCAGTTCTGACTCATGTTGTTGTTGTTGTTAAGTGCCGTCGAGTCGGTTCCAACCCATAGCGACCCTGAACAGGGTTTCCGAGGCTGCAAATCTTTACAGGAACAGAAAGCCTCATCTTTCTCCTGCGGAGCAGCTGGTAGTTTCGAACTGCTGACCTTGCGGTTCGCAGCCCTATTTGTATGCTACCAGATTAGCGACCCTTTAAATGGTTTCCCAAGAGCAGCTGGTGGGTTTGAACCATCAACCTTGTGGTTAGCCACCCAGTGCTTATCCTACAGTACCACACCAGGAGTCTTGAGAGCCTTGGTGTTAAGTGCTGTTGAGTTACTTCTGACTCACAGTGACCCTTACAGGGCTTCTAAGGAGAGGCTGGTGGGTTTGAACTGCCAATTTTGTGGTTAACTGTCCAGTGCTTATCCCAAGGGCCACACCTGAGAATCTTAGGGGACAGTTTATAAAGGGACAAAGGAGGGGATGCGGTGGCTCTGTAGGATAAACACTGGAATGTGAACCACAGTAAGCACTGGGCTTGGAGCCCGGCAGTTGATTCACGAGACAAAGATGAGAGTGTGCTTCTGAAAAGATTACAGCCTCGGAAACCCTATCGGCAGTCTCTGGGAGTCAGAACCGACTCGACAACACCGATCAGCAACAACAGGAAGGCGGTCTGACGGAACAGTGGACCAGGCAGTGGGAGAAACGGGGGAATTCCATAGGCTCCCATCAAGATTTACAGCCTCGGAATCCCAACGGAGCAGTTTGACCCTGTCCTGCAGGGTGGCTGTGATTCGGAAGCCACTTGATGGCAGGGGGTTAGCTAACGTGGAGGAGGCTGCAGGGCCCTCAGCCTGTGGTGGCCGGGCAGCAATGGTTCTGGAACTTGGGAGAGGGAGGGCTGTGTGGGGAGGGTATAAGAACAGGGCACCTGGGACAAGGCTCCCTCTCTCCTCCAGTGCTCCCGTGGGCAGGGTGTGGGCTCTGAGATTGCTGGGGGGCTCCCCCAGGGGTGGCCCTCGTGGGCTGAGGCCTCACTGATTGGTCGTCCTCTCTGGCTGTTCAGAGGGAGATCCGGTACCTGCGGAGTCTACACCTGTCAACACACCGGGAGCGTCGGCTGCTCCTTCAGCACCAACGAGACCTGGCCTCCATGCGACACTGCACGGCCCGCCTGCAGAGGGAGCTGTGGGCCGGGACCACACCACCCCAGGTAAGTGCTCACCTGGGTGAGGCTGCTCTGTGCAGAGACACCTGTGACTGGGGGGAAGGGCGTCTCTCGGGTGCAGGTGGAGGGCATGGGGGCTTTATCGGGTATGGAGGGGAGTTGGCTTGAGCCCTCTGGGGGCTGCAAGAGTGGGCAGTGGGGTTCCTCGCGGGACCCAGGTTGGCAGTGTCTCTGCCCTGAGCTGAGTGTCCTCCTCTGTACATTTGGGGTCTCACCTCACAGTCCAGGTAATATGAACTGCTAGGTATGGGTCAGTCTGTCCATCTGTCCATCTGTCCATCCAGCTGTTGACCTCGGAGCAGAGTTCATGCGAGCTGGGTGACGGGCCAGGCCTCTGTCCTCTGAGTGGCCTGAGGCACCCCCATTGCTGCAGAGGAACAGCTGGGAGACAGCAACATACTCACCTTGTCTGTTTGTCACAGGGCTCCGGCCCCCAGAGCAGCCCGAAGCCAGAGGGGAATGCACCGGCCTCCTCACTCCCGACACCAAGCAGGCCCTGCAGCCCCTCCAGCCTGCACCCCCCGAGGAGCCCACTGAGCTCGCCTAGCACACAGTGAGTGGGTGGAAGGCCCTGGTGTGTCCAGGAAAACCCTTCCTGTGCAGGTAGCCTGCGGGCCCTTGGGTGCTAGGGGACCCTGCTCCCTAAGAGGGGAGCGTGCCAGGTGCCAGCAGGGGCCCAACTCCAACGCTGACCAAGGTTGGAGTGTCTCCACCTCTTTGCACGAGTCAGGCTCCAAGTCACATGTGTGCGCAGCTTGGTTCCATAGCTGCTAACTTTAGCTTGTAGTGAGAGACCCCAGACTGGGTGCCTGAGCGGAAGTCATACAGGGGTGGGGGGTGGCATCAACCTTGGCCATGGTGCCCGGGAAGGGACTCGTCCCTGCCTTTTTAATGACAGAGGTTCTCTTTGGCTGGGGGTGCCCTCTCCCCTGGCACTGCACCCTCGAGCCAGCTGCCCACAGGACTCCAATTGCAGAACCCTCCCGAAGTATCAGACTCGGGCTGGGGTTGAGGAGGCAGGGGATGCAGCCCCTCCGGAAGGCAGCAGCCTGAATGGGGCACCCAGCAGTCTTGGGGCATGTCGCCCCCACGCAGTGACCCTGCCCAGCCAGGGGGTCCATTTTAAAGCCCCCCAGTAAAGAAAGCGGCCATCAGCTTCCAAGCGACTTTCAAATAAAGCTCAGCCTGAACCCATGTATGTAAGTCACATCCCTGTTGATTTTGAAGAGGCTCCCAGGCCGATTGTCTCTTCTTACTGACAAGGGAGCCGGAGGGGAGCAGGGCTCAGGGGCCATGTGGACGGCTTCCCCACCCCTTTCAGGGGATACTGACCACCAGTCATAGGGCTTTATTGGTCAGAAGTTAGGAAATACTGGGTGGTCTCGGAGCTACTGCAGGTTTGATTCCAGACCACCTCATAAATCGATCAGTCAAACCAGTCAGTCACCTGCAGCTTTGGTTTCCCGGTGGTGCTGTGTGTTAAGCGCTGGGCTGCTAACCAAAAGGTCAGCTGTTCAAACCCACCAGCTGCTCCGAGGGAGGAAAAGGAGGCTTTCTGCTCCTGTACAAATTTACAGCCTCGAAACCCTATTTAGGGTCTCACCACGAGCCAGAATCAACTCGAAGGCACTGGTTTGGGGTTTCGGGTTAGTGCATATAAAAGTGATGTTGGCACTAGCCTATCAGATGTGCAAGAGCAGGATGAAAGTGTTTGAAATATTGTGAGAATGACCAAAGTGGACGCCGAGACGAAGTGGGCACATGCTGCTGGAACCATGTCACCAGTGGGCTTGTAGGATGTAGGTGTGCCGCTGACACTCAGGACTTTGTAAAAAGTCTCATATCTTCTAAGAATACTAAAAGGAGGTCTACCTGTTGAGGCTCCTGGTGTGGCACTGTAGGATCAGCACCGCGAACCACAAGGTCAGCTGTTCAAACCCACCAGCTGCTCCTCGGAACTTCTGTGCAGGGTCGCTATGAGTTGAAACATAGCACTTAACAACAACAACAACCTGTAGACAAGAACACAAAAGAGAACCCCCTTTTCCAGGGAAAGCATCCTTTAATGTTTGTGGAGGGCACACAGCCTTCATTCATTCGTTCATTCATTCATTCATCCATCTATCCATCCATCCATCAGAAGAAGACAGCTGACTTCCCAGGTATCAGGGTGCTGTCAGCAAGTGGGGGTGGGAGGTGGGGGACACGTCCCAGCACTTAGCTCTCAGGGACTTGGGGGACCCAGACTGGACCCTATGCTGGGGCAGGTTGCCCTGGAATGGGGTCAGGGCAGTTGTTATGTGCCGTGGAGTCAGTTCCGACCCATAGTGACCCTGTACAGGGTTTTTGAGGCTGTAAATCTTTACGGGAGCAGAAAGCCTCATCTTTCTCCTGCGGAGCAGCTGGTAGTTTCGAACTGCTGACCTTGAGGTTTGCAGCCCGATTCATAACCGCTACGCTACCAGAGCTCCTTAAAGGTCAGGGCAGTACTCCTGGTCGTTCAGCCTAGGTTGTTTCTCTCCTCGAAGGGGCAGTAGGTTCGAGGACAGCCAGTCTGTGGCCTTGGGAACTGCAGCGGAGCTCAGCCTCCTCTGCCAGGTCCCCTCCCTGGCATGGCGACCCTCCCCTTGCTGATTCTGGAAGGCAGACATTTAGGGCCCTTCTTGGAGAAAGGAGCCTCAAGGTCAGCAGTTCAAAACTACCAGTAACCCTGCAAGGAAAAGATGAGGCTTTCTGCTTCCGTAAAGATTTACAGCCTCAGAAACCCTGTACAGGGTCACTGTGAGTCAGAACCGACTCCGTGGTACATAACCACCACCACCTTGAAGAACAAACATCCAAGCTGCAATGCAACTGGTGCCTCGAGAGGAAGGGCAGAGCCTGAAAGGACCCCCGAGTGTTCTAGAGCAGGCCCCTCCACTGTGAGGCTGCCCCGGGGTGGGGTGTTCCCTGCTGACCTGCATATCTGGGGACCCTCCGACCACCTGGGCTTCCATGCTGCTCCAGAACTCCAGGTGGGGACCCTGCAGTACCCATAGCTCGGTGTTCCCCAAGTCCAGCTGGTGGTCTTCGTCTGAAGGGTAAATGAGTACCTGCTCTCCTGCCCCGTGCTGAGGAGACAGATGGACAAACATCCCATGCTGCCCTGTCCGAGGGTTTTGCCCATGTGTATCATCCTCCAGTGGAACCCCACTGGGGTGCTCTGTCCTAAGGTCAAGCAGGAGCCAGGTGAGAAGGCAGGCCATGTTATCCTCTGTCCATGCACTGACCACTGACCACCAGCCACAGCTGTCCCTAGAGGAGTGCGAGGTATCTCAGGGCTGGGGTCCAGTAATCCTGAGAGGGAAGTGATCAATGTGGACACTCACACCTCCTCTCTGCATTGTAGCCTTCTAGCTGAGCATGGGGGAGTGACACCCCCGAGGGCAACTTGGGCTGCGAATGACCACCTGCCATCCCTGAGGCCGACATGGGGTGAGGACACAGCTGCAGGTGACTGGTCAGGTTCCCAGGGCCAGCTGGTGGAGAGCCACAACCATACCTGCCAAGGTAGGTGGATAAGACCGAAGCCTCAGCTGGGCCTCGAGTGACCCAGGAAAACAACTGCCCACCCTTCTGGGCCTGGTGACTTTCCTGAGCCCACTTGCAGACAGGAGTGTGGTGGGCCCACTGAAGGGGGTGCATGTCCACGCTGATGCTCGTCTCAAGGACTCTGAGCAGGTGTGCCCATTGCAGCCTAGCTTTCCAGTCCTGCCCTGCCCATTGGGCCCTTTTGTTGGGTGCCCCACTGCTCTCGTCATGGGACCAGGTTTCCTCGAAGACCACATGTCCTGCAACTGGCCCTGCAACCATGTGGACTGGCTGTTCCCTCTGGGAGCCAGCCGATGCCTGCTGCCCCCTTACCCATGCTTCCTCCTATGGGGCACACTCGCCAACCCCTTTCAGAGACCAGGAAACAACGCACAGGTTTGAACAGCTTCTCTAACTTGTGTGTCCTCGCCCCAGGTGTGCCCTCGCCGAAGGTGTGTCCTGGCCCCAGAGTGGCAACAGCTTGGCAGCCCTCAGCCAGGGGAGTGTTTGCTTGGAACACCAACCTGAGAATTAGCAAGTCACTGGTAGCTTCAGGGAGAGCCAGGTCCTACCTGCTCATCCCAGTGCCCAGCACCGTGAGCAGAAGGGCGTCCCGTTGCCGAGGGTCCACAGGTCTGGGCTTTTCTGGGTGGCCTGGGCCTCGGTGTCTAAACACCCTGTCAGGTCCCAGGGATAGCACTTCTAGGTGAAGACACCTGGACCCTTGCTGGCCAGACCCTGCCTGCCGTGTTCGAGGCCTGCACCTGCCCAGGGTGGTCTCAGCACAGCCCTGGAGGGCAGGACACTCAGGAAAGAGAACACATCTGGCAAACTGTTTCCAGTCACAAGGAGAGTCTCTCCCCAGAGTAGAAAGAGACATCTCTAGATTTGAAACGCATTTGCTAAGGTTTTCCTGGGACATCACTACTCTATGGCAGGATGGCTTGGGGGCAGATGGCTGCACGATTTTTGTCCTCATTCTGCGTGGATGGTTACGTGCTCGACTACTGGCCAGAACGTTGGTGATTTGAGTGCACTCAGGGATGCCTCAGAAGTAAAGTCTGGCAATCGACTGACTAAGTCATCAGGCACTGGTACCCACTGGGAACCTTGGACTCTACTCCTGGGGTCGTCACATCAATAGCAGCCGCCACTAACCAAATACTACAAAGAATTGGGTGGCATGTGTTTTGAAGTTTGAGATTTTTTTACATGGCTTCAAAAGTCCTTGGCCTCCTGTTCAGGTTGACTGCCCCATTGTCCCCCAGAACACCCGCAGGCCAAGCCCAGCCCCGCATTAGCAGAGGACAAGGCCTGGACTCAGACAGGCAGCCAAGCATGGGAATGGAGCCTGCGGCCCCCGGGGGGAGAAGAGCCTTCCAGCCCCCAGGAGGCAAGTGTAAACCAGGTTCAGCTGGTTAGGGGTTGGCCCTGCTGGATGGCTGGGTGCAGGGGATGGTCTTGTCCATCAAGTGAGGGCTTAAGGGATGGCGGCTCTGAGGCCCAGTCCAGGCAGATGTAACCAGTGCCCTACATCTTACCCCAAGACCCCACACTGGGCAGCACAGTGGCATGCGGCTGGGTGTTTGGAGCCCACTGGGAAGAGAGGTGTTTGGTGAGAGGGGGGTCCCGGCCCTCTTTGTGGGACTAGCTGTTGTCGCCTAGCCTTTGTCACATGGGAGCTCAGGCCTCACCCCTACCTGGGCGGTAAGCACACTGTCATGTTTCTTTAACGCAACCCCAGCAGCTGGTGGAAGGCAGCTTGAACCGGGAGGAGTTGGAATTGGGTCTGGATGCTGCTGTGAACCCCACAGAGGAGCCCCATGGCATGGAGCACTGGCGGTCAGAGGCACAGAGGTAGGGACATGCCCCTCCTTCCTATGGATGGCCTTGTCACTCCTGTGGTCATCTTCTTGGCCTGGGCCCAGCTGGGCACCCCCACCCCTGAGTCTGACCCAGCCTTGGAA